AGTCTAATAAAAGAGTTCCTACAACGCATAATGACAGTACTTAAGCTATACAAAGCGCAGCAGCAACACTCCCCTTATCCTTCCATAGTCATAGCTCTAGTTGCAGCAATTACGACTAAATTCTTCCTAACGGTAGCACCTACTGCAACTTTAACTGATTACACCGCCTGCACTAAAATTAAAACGGTAAACTCTTACCTGAGAACAAAGCCGGCGACGGAGAACTGAAGCGAAACATTCCGCCCGAAATAAATCCCGAGCCCAAATGAAACAGGAGTTTAAGTACTAATTAAACCAATTCTAGAGGAACTCTTGCACCGAATACATAGCAGTTGGAGCAGTTCTGACAACAGTGCTCCAAGCTTCAGAAAGGAAAAGAAGGCAGTTAATTGCCCGGGAAGATGCAGTCGTAAAATAAGAGGCTGGGGCACGACACAAAATAGCACATTGTTGCACTTCAGGGAGGCCAGTCGGCATCACTCATTCCGCATGTCAGTGTCAGTAGCAGCCGCCAACAATCATATAATTATGCACCACAAGAATAGATAACTTCAGGATGTGGGATATTTGAAATTCTACCAAGTTAATTACTATTGATTTAGTTGCATTTACAGGGAAAGAGTCAAATGTCGTTCGCTTCTATATCAAGAGAGTAAAAATAGATTGTTAATTATGGTTGTCTTTAAAAGCACAACAGATATACACGCCAAAGGGATGAATTTGCCTAGTTATTGGGCGGCAGTTAAATTATTCATTTTTTTTCACCTCAATCGTTTAGCCTTAATGCAGTTTAAAATGATAATAAATTATAATATGAACTCATGTTCTTCTATGCAAGATGCAGTTTAAAGAGTTTAAAGACTCGTGTTCAAGAGGGAATAATCCAAGCCATGTTGTTAAAAAGATAAATTAAGAACAGCTTAAGGTTTGGTTTATTTAATTATGGCAAAGCATACTAGAGCTATCTGCCTAAGGGGAGGGATGCCTTCGTGGAGGACTTTCTAAGGGAAACTGGCTCGTATACACGTACACATGGGGAAAACCACGAAAACGCCCATGCAGCCAGCCCGTTTGCGGGATTCGAACCTCGGACCGAACTACCAGTGTTCAGCGACTTATTTTGAAACAAGATGTTGCGTATTTGGATCTCAAAGATTACACATCTTTATAACTATATCAATGATTAACTGTTACCTTTAAAATGGATGATGATAAACTGTTTTCGATAAGGAAAATGAGATTAAGTATTTTTTGTTAACTTAAATTAAATGGGTTCAATTTTTATTGAAATTTTTCTAGAAATTCAAATAATAAATTAATTTAATATAGCAACACTAAAGTTCAGGCCGTAAAAATAGATTGACAATCCCAATGTCGCCCATGGACCGCCATTTTGACATCGATAAGCAAGATTAATAGTTCCCAAAGCCATTATGAGCACATACCACCAAAATCAAGACTCACAATTTTAGTACCAGCACATAAATCGTCTGACAGAAGTTAGAACTTACGCGGAGGAGAAAAAAAAGGAAGGACGAGACAAAGTCTTTCATCCTTTCTAATATATTAATAGAAGTAAAAAAATTACTACAAGTCACACAGATTTGATACTTTCATGTCCAAAAACCCAATAATTAACAGTCATTCTTTGCACCTTTCTAAAAGAACCGTATTTAGTGTACTTCCAATATATTTTCATCTAATTAGAGACACAAGTTTCTTTCCTTTGAACCCCTGACATGTGTTTTTCTCGAGCTTTCCAATTTCCGTGTAGTTGATATTATGACTCAAAGGCACAAGTAACTTCCATCAAATCTTATATTTTGGTTACGTTAAACAACAAATGATGGTAATCCTGCTCTTCTACTGTTTATAAATATACAAACTGATCAATGGATATGCTATGGTAGTCCATTATGATGGATCAACGGATTACCTGACAGGTTACGGATTAACGGATTACCTGACAGGCTACGGATCAACGGATTACCTGACGGATTACCAGACATAATAATCTCAACAAGACGCAATAATAGAAAGTTTTGCATTTCAGCATCGATTTCAAACACTCGAATAATTTTATGAGCGAATTCAAACACTCGCTCATAAAATAATACTTGCACCCACAATACATGCAACCATAGATTATTAAACGTAATGTATCTATGAGATTTGAGATATTCTATCGTCAACAGAGATGGCGTAATCCACTAAAGCTGCACATAGTCATTTTGCAGCATGGTAATCTGCAAGAAGAAAGCTAATCGTGGAAGAAACGTTTTTGAGTACATCATGAGTAAACAATGAATGCTTCACAGCAGAAGCGTTTTACGTATGTTGTCATGCGCAGTATCTTTCCTACAATATAATGGAAGAGATGTTTGCGATAGTGCAAGTATACGTGCTGGATTTAAAACACGGATAGCTGCTTTTTCGGCCCATTATTTGAAATGCCACTAGAGAATTGAAAGTCCTATATCACATATTCCCTGGCATTTGATATATATATATATATATATTTGGCAAATCCTAACCGAATTTGCGCCATTTTGTATTCCCTTATTATACTTTTCCAACAACCGTTGAAATTTGCCTCAGTGTTTGGTGTATCCTGTATTTTCAGGAAGTTGTTGCTAAAGATTTTTCTTTCTCCGACAGGATAATACTTACCTTTGTATGTTGAAATCGTGTCCTCTGTTTAGATATTTCTGCTTCACATCCGTCACTAACATTTGTACTACAATAACAGGTTGATTTAATCCTACAACATACATATCACTACTTGTAAGCAATCCACAACACTACTTTTTAATGGTCGAACATACCATAGATTACATTATTCAACTAACAGTCACAGTAGTACGACACTCATACCCCAGCTAGCAATACAGACATAAATCACAACGACTTCTTAAATCGGAGATGTGCTATGGTTGCCAGTCCGTATTTGAAAATATCATAGCCACTTAATACGGCCTTTTCTAGAGGTTGTGTGCGACAGCGAAATGCAGTACTTTTCTGCTGTCATTTTGATCACATATTTAACTACTCCTACCTAGCGATGAGTCGGTACTACCGAACCGGTACTTTTCGGTATTCGTTACTTCTGTACCGAAACGGGTATTTTTCGGTATTCGTTACTTCTGTACCGAAACGGGTACTTTTCGGTATTCGTTACTTCTGTACCGAAACGGGTGCTTTTCGGTATTCGCTACTTTGTAACGAAAATATGCGTCTCTTCTCGGTATTTCGGTATTCGTTACTGGAGGATCGATGAGGGTTCAGCTCACTTCGGTTTTGGTACGAGGACAGTAGTATCTGGTTGTATTTGCGAAATGGTGATATGCGCTCCTTGTGTCCATGAATGACCTTGAAATAGGGCATGGAATGGCAAACGTGAAAGGGGGAAACTTCCGTTCCGTTCGTCACGGAGACTAGAGTTTGAGGTAGTATAATTAATTGCCTTTGTGTGCGCGGGAGGACGAGTGTGAAATAGTGGAAATTTTTCGAAAGGCCGTTCGTGTGTGTGTGTGGGGGGGGGAATAGTAGCAGTTGGAGTCACTGTCGCCGGCATTGCTCGCTTGTGATTGGAGTCGGTATAGTCAGGAGGGAAAGGGAGGGGAGCGCTAGATGATTTGCAATCCGAATTGTGCATGTTTTAATTTTTCATCGTTTGTAGGAGAAAAACTGCGTGGATCTGAAATGATTGATTTGGTAAGTTGCTGTTGTTGGATTGGTGAATGGAATCAACTACCAACTAGATTACTTCCTTTTCCTCAACATATTTTTAGCATAAATCATGAAAAATATTTTTCGTTTGCTTGCTTAATAGGGCAACGTAAATCATATGATCCTTTTTAAATAAATATGATCCTTTTTTTATCCCGCTGTACCTACTTCAGAAAATGTCACAGCATCTAGTGGATCACTAAGCCAATCAACATAAAATACAGACGCAATTTTAAACTTTTCTAATGAAAGAACAAAGATAACTGACCCACTTATGATAATTCTTCCCCCTTCTAAAAACAGATTTTCATCTCGCCAAAAACTAAACCCAGGTCACGTGTCTAACGCAGGATTGTCAACGCCTGCTTTACCCCCCAGGACGTGACGACGCTCCTCCGATAGGAAGAGAGGTGAACTTTGACCTGGCAGTCCGAATCTTTTTTTTTTTTTTTACTCCCTCTGGAGCTTATTTGAGGGGGGAAAACTATCGAATGGAACACCGGAAATTATCCGGACATGTTTATGTAAACATACATGTCCCTCCCTTTTTTTCCTTTGCATTTTTTGCTCTTTCATGCCTGATTAATAGAATCATTACGCGATATTGCACTTACCCTTTTCACAGCGTAGTGCTGATTTTAGAATTTGCAGCTGGAGTGAACAGCGGAAGTCGTTAATAGAATTTTTTTTATGCTTATCTGACGATGCTGATGACCATCTCCCAACTTCGTCACTTTTCCCATAAGATTCATTCTTGTCTCGTACTGGTGAGTATCGGTACGTTATAGAATTGCTTAGTCTCTATCAGTTTCTTACGCCTCAGGAAAAAAAAAAAAATCGAATTACAAAATGTCTAGTAAGAAAAGGAAATTCAGCTTGGTTTGGCAGCACTTTTCCTATACTAATGAAGACGAAAAAGTTATGTGTGACATTTGTAAAGACCTTTTATCCATCAAAGGTGGTTCAACAGGAAATTTAAAAAAACATTTGCAAAGGAAGCATCCTTGTGTAAATCTGCACGAGAAACGCGCTTTGCCGAATCAAGATGTTGATGATATTGATGCCGCTCCAGCCCGTTCTGTCGTCACTAGCCCTGCAGATGGTGGGCAACCATGCACATCCCAGCAGACTACACAACTTACGGTAGACAACAGTGCTTGTGATATTGTTGGTGTATTTTCACAAAAATCCCAGTCCAGCATAATGCAGTTTGTCCAGAGAAATACGATGGATGTACATAAAAAAAAGTAATCGATCTCGCACTGATCAAAATGGTATATAAGGATTTACAACCAATAAGTATCGTAGAAAATGAGGGATTCCGAGAATACTCAAAGGCTTTGAATCCAACCTATTCTTTACCTTCACGGAAAACGGTTTCTAAATCCTTGCTTCCTGCTGCTTATGAAGAAAAAAAGAATAGTTTAAAAAACGTTCTTAGTGCTGTACAAAATATCTGTTTGACTGTAGACTGTTGGAGCAACCAAAAGGCTGAAAGTTACATGGCCGTGACAGGCCATTTTATTGACGAACACATGCAAAGGAAAACGGTACTGATTGACTGCTCAATTTTTGATGAACGTCATTCAGCCAAAAATATTGCAGAAAATATCATACACATTTGCCAACCATATTTTCCGATGGAAAAAGTGTCTTTAATAGTGACTGACAATGCCAAAAATATGATTAACGCTGTCGACAGCGAACTAAAGTTAAAACATTTAGGATGCATTGCACACTCTCTCAATTTGGCTGTCACAAATTCTCTAAACGAGGTTAACGACCTTCTAACGAAAATTAGGGATATTGTGATAGTTTACAGGAGAAGTAATATCGCTGCAAAAAATCTGCGAAAATATCTGTGCTCTAGCGAGGAGAGAAAAGACTTAAAAGTCATCTTAGATGTGAAGACTCGTTGGAACAGCACGTTTTATATGGTAAAACGTTTCCTTGAACTGAAAGACGCTATTCGTTCTACAATGGGTTTGATGAACGACCCCCCAGAGGCTCTTGATGTGCCAGAATGGGAAAGTGTCCAACATCTTTGTGACGTTTTGAAACCTTTTGAAAAGGTGACTTGCGAGTTGAGTTCGGAAAAATACTTGTCAGCATCTATGGCGCCTGTGTTAATCGGCGGACTTCAAAAAATCTGTGAAAATCTGCTTAGTAAAAGTGTTAATGAACAAGTACAAAATGTGGTACTAGTACTACAACGTGAATTGGGTAATAGATTTACAACTATCGATTCAAGAGAAGACATTGCTCAAGCCGCTTTCCTTGACCCCCGAATAAAAAAAATGAAAGTGATATTATCTGTGAGTTATCGGTAGTTGCACAAACTACCCATAATCTTGTTGAGGATGTGGAAGAGGATGATGAAGAGATAGACGAATCATCGGTTTGGTTCGAGTTTGAGAGTAAAGTTATAGCCTCTCGAACTTCAGCTTCCGCAGCAGACGCGGCAATCGACAAAGCTGCGGCGGCAGAAGTGAAAAGATACCTGCAAGAGCCCATTCTTTCCAGGAAATCTGATCCACTGGAGTGGTGGGAAAAGAATAAAAATGTATTTCCTAATTTGTATGAATTATCACGGAAAAAATTAGGCCTTGTGGCTACTTCAGTGCCATGCGAAAGGGTGTTCTCTAAAGCTGGATTAATACTGAATGATCGGCGAAACCGTTTGAGTGGACAAAAGTTGAAACAACTAATTTTCTTACATTACAATTATAATATTTAATCATTTGTTGACCTTCTTAAAATTCCAACCTAAGTTCAGCTTAAAATGTTTATTTCTATGTTTATTTTCGCTGCATTATTTTCAAAACTGTTTCTGGGAGTCAATTTTTTTATGCTTAACTTAATTTTTCGTTACATATTTTAAGTGGTCTTTATAAAAAGAAATAGAAGGAATTAAATGCCTAAAATTTCCATAAAGTTAAAAAATTTGATACTTTTATAACGTTTTGCACAGCCTATCAAAGTTTTATTTGTTTTAATTAAATGAAATATTACTTCATTCAAATGTCAATTTCTTAAAAAAAATATTATTTTGAAATTGTATTTAGATCATTAATATAATATAAAGTTCTACAGTTCTATTATTTACTTAGCTGTACTCACATATGTTAAGTTCTCATATAGTTGAAAGCATGCTATCTTATTTTCTAGTGTTTAAATCATCTTTAATTTAAATTTTTATATCGAATGTACTTATTGAATTCATATAATGCGATTTTACAAATATTTTTGTTGCTTTTTGCTGTTACAGCATCCAGATATTACGTTCTCGTAGTTTTAAAGACATGCTGCCTTATTTCCTAGTGTTTTTAATAATCTTTCACTCAAAATTCTTATGTCGAATGCGCTTTGGCTGTAATTTGAGTTTTAAAAATATTTTTTACCATTCTGTTGCATTTTTGTGTTTACAGCAGTTACTGCATCCAGGTATTGCGCTCTCACAGTTTTTTTAAACCCTTTGCTATCTTATTTTCTAGTGTGTTTTTTGATAATCTTCAATTCAAAATTGTTATATTGAATGTGCCTTTTAAAATCATATTGTGCGTTTTTAAAAATATTTTTAACCATTTTGCTGAAATTTACTTATTACTGTAGTACATCCAAATATATTACATTATCTCACTTTTCAAAACATACCTCATTTTCTAGTGCTTTTGGTAATTCAAAATGTTTAAATCAAATATATATGTTTATGCATTTTTTAAAATCATATTTTTTGTTTTTAAAAATATTTCTAATCATTTTGTTGTTTATTGTACGGTGCCAAATCTCCAAAAGTACAAATTTAACTCAAAATAAACCTAAATGTAATTTAAAAAGGAACAGTATAAACTTTTTTGTGGAAAAGCTCTTCAACCATGTGTATATGAATAAATGTGTGTAAATTTTATTTTATGCCAGTATTGTACAATTAAACACACAAGGTCATTTATGTTATATTTAATGTTTAAATTATCTTACTTTTTTATTCAGAATTTTTAATATATATAGGGGAGAGTAGAGAATAAGAGATTTATCTTTTTTAAAATTTGGTAGCTTGAATAAGTTTTATTTCGCAGTGGTACTGAAGGTCATTATCTTATCTATAAGTGGGATAAAGGTTTGTGATTATTTTAATTTCTAGACCCTATGCCCTTTACTACCGAATTGAAGGTATTAAACGACTTCTGTGGTATGTTATTTATCCGTATAAATAAAAAATATCATGTTAAAACAGATTGATCATTAAATTTCTGATATTTACTTAGGAAACTGCATCCTATCGGGTTGCTACACAGCTAGTTATAGTTATAGTTAATTTTCTATTTTAAATTTATTGCGACATTTTTACTCATAGTATAAAGTTGCATCAAAATTTCTATTTTCCGATTTTTTTTCCTTTGTTTCCCTCCAACAACACAACACAACACAGCCGAAAAAAACATAGTGTGTACTCTCCCTTCCTTCAATATCATACAAAGAAAATCTTCCGACGTTTTTCAAGTACGCAACTATGCTCATTTGGGGCTGTCCATAAATGATGTCACACTTTTCTGCAACATTTTGGACCCCCTCCCCTCTTTGTCACAAAGTGTCACACTTCACACTTCAACATACCCCTCCCCCTTTGTCACATGTCACGCAATATTACGTAAACTTATACTTGCAGTTCAAAAACGTAGCACTACGTTATAGATCATATTTCAGACTTTATTTTTAAATTTAAACTATATGTTTTAATGACATCTGTAAATATAACAATAATAATGATTCGTGCACTTATTTTGTATGAAATAAGAGAAAAGTTTACAGCAAAAAACATAATTAATACACAATAGCAATAAAATTACAATTTCTGCCGCTACCCTATTCTCAAAACCTACTCTGAATGGGTTTTTTTTTTGGGGGGGGAAGAAAGGAATGTAAGAAAAAAAAATCACATGAAAGTTGCTTTCGCCCCAATTAAGGAAATACCTTCAAATTTTGGTAATTTTAAAATAACTTCAAAATTCAATCTGCTGATTTTAAACATTTTTATTTTAATCAAAATATGATTCCCCATCTTGTCACAAACTGTCACAATTTCACTAACCCCCCCTCCAAGCGTGACATCATTTATGGACGACCTCTTTCACGAAATTGATAGAGCACCCATCGATTTTGCTGCACCTGCACACAAGACACAACCGAAAGCGAAAATGTTTCCATCCATCCACTTCCCGCGCCAATCCTCCCAACCCCCACTGGCCATCAAAGACAATCTACACAAACCCAACACCAGAAACAACCCGCCGCGCTCTCCTGCTCCTCAGACACTTCCGTAGTTGACATGTTTTCTGATATTCAAAATCTTACTCCGTACAGATAAAATCAAACACGTGGTGACGTGGCAGAGTTCCTTCAGTGCGCAAAATCGTTAGCTGCGTATTTCGGTACTCCAAATCGTTACTAGGGCACTTCGGTACTCCAAATCGTTACTAGGGTACTTTGGTACTCCAAATCGTTAGGGTACTTCGGTACTCCAAATCGTTACTAGGGTACTCCGGTACAGCAAACCGTTACTAGGGTACTCCGGTACAGCAAACCGTTACTCCGGTATTTCGTTACTTCGGTACTCCAAATCGTTACTTGGGTACTCGGTACTTGAAATCGGTTTTCGGTACTTTTCAAAGTAACGGTTACTTGAGTAACGGGTATTTTGTACCGGGTACTTGTCTGTACCCGTTACTCTCGTACCGGGTACAAGAAAGTACCGAAGTTGCCCATCACTAC